CAAAATAACCACATAGAAACTGTATTAGTTAAATCACTGCTTGACCCATTAGCTATAGCTTCTTATTGGCTAACTCTTACATCTTAATTTAATTATTTTTCTATTAATCTGTGTATTGCCATGTGGTGCATCTGTCTCCAGCAGGACTACATGGCTTCTCTCTGGCTCTGCCCTTCTTTCTCCCAGCATTCAGTTTAGTTTTCCCCACATATCTCTGTTCTACCCTATCAGGTCAAGCCAGTTTCTTTATTAACCAATGGTATTCACAGCATTCAGAGGGGAATCCCAGATCACCTCCCCTTTTCTGTTTAAATAAAAAAGGAAGGTTTTAATTTTAACATAGTAAAATTACATATAACAAAACAGTTATCAAGCAAGAATTACAATTACAATATTTATATCTACTTTATCTTTTATCATAACTAAGGAAAACTATACTATAATTATAAATTCTTCATCTCCATCAAAGACTTCAGAAGGATATCATATTACCTAAGTAAACAGGAAGTGCATTGTAAGCAACTTCCAAAACTCTAGAAATGACAGAGACATCTTGCTGCCTGGACAGTCACCCAATGTTCTCCTGTACTGTTGGGGCATCCGTCTTCAGCCTACAGGCCCATAGTATCTGGCAGACTTTTCCATGAAGCAGGAAATTTTGAAGACAATTCCACCTATATTGGAAGTTTGTCAGTCACTTTCTTCTATATCCTGCAGAATATCTGGTAGACTTTTTCATAAAGCAGGAACCCCAAAGGACTATCTCACCTTCCTTAGACAACTTCAGTAGCCATGTACTTCGGCCCAATTCCAGGCACACAGTGGTCTATGTTGCCATTAAGCAAGTTGTAGCACTCTGTTCACAAAGCCTATTTGAATGCTCAGCCTCCTGAAAGAGTCAGAGTCTGTGCTAGCAGCACAGCCCATAGCTGGGAAGCCACTCTTTCAAAATTGCTTAGCTGTTTTGCTGCTACCTTTGAATCAGAAAGACCTTTCTTAAAGGACCTGCAGCATGCTGCCAGCAAGCAAAACCCATTTGGGAAAAAAATGCAGCTAAACTTTGTTTTTTAGTGCCTAGAATTCCCTTTTAAGCTTTCTCGGGTTTGATGTGGATTTAGTCAACCACATTGGAGCACCAATCTGTTGTAGTAAGGCCGCTCGTTTGTCCTGACCACCCAGAACCAAAATAATCTCACAGAAACTGTATTAATTAAATCACTGCTTGGCCCATTAGCTCTAGCTTCTTATTGACTAACTCTTACATATTAATTTAACCCTTTTCTATTAATCTGTGTATCACCATGTGGCTGTGGCTTACTGGCTAAAGTTCCGGCAGGGCTCCATGGCTTCTCTCTGATTCCACCCTTCTTTCTCCCAGCATTCAGTTCAGTTTTCCCTGCCTATCTCTGTTCTACCCTATCAGGCCAAGACAGTTTCTTTATTAACCAATGGTATTCACAGCATACAGAGACGAATCCCACATTATCTCCCAATTCATCCAGATCGGCCCTCTAGCATGACTGCTAGGGCAAATTGACCTGTTCAGATTTAGATTCCTAGATCAGCGCCGACAACAACAGAAGCCAGACAGACAAGACTTTGAACACAGATAGATTTTCTGCAGTCGGTCAGAATAAACCTTCAGGGTCAGAGGTCCCAATGGGGGTCTCTGGGGATCTGGGATTGAAGGACCAGGAATAATAGAGCCAAAAATCTGGCAGGAAGAGTAGAGCCAAAAATCTAGGTTAGCCGGTTCAGTGACTCTGTTCCAGGAACTAGCTGACTATGAAGTTAGATTATAATCTTGAGAACAATCTTGAGAAACAGGGAGTTACCCCTTTGTGATTATCACTGGTATTTTCAGAATTTTCCAATTCCAAAAATTGGCTCTCCAACCCCCTTTTATGGTTTCTTCCCTTAAATATTCCTTCTCCCAGCTACTCGGGGTCAAACTCCTCTACCCCTGTGTGGGAAATGAGTCTCGCCCCATCCCAGAGTGCTGGTTCCTGTCAATAAACCTTGTGTGATTACAGGAAGGATGGTCTCTCGTGAGGGGTTGTGTTATCCCGAGACTTGGGTGAGAGTCTCCCAACTCCGGGGGTAATTTAGATGAGCCCCTAAATATATGCCCAGTCCAAGGAGACTGACTCACTGAAATGCAAAAGGGGTTTATCGTGTGCATGATACAAGCTGGCAATGACCTCATCAGCACAGCAGCAAGAGGGGGTACCCCGCTATTTTAGAGGGATATTTAAAGGCAAACCCCAGAAAAGTTACATTATCAGGGTGTGGGGTGACAGGTTCAGTCCTGATTGGCTTGTGTCTAAGGACTTTTCAGAAATTTTATTTTCAAACCTCGCCTGTTGCTTGTCAAGTTTTCTTATTCTATGGTTATCTGTGCTTTCCAGACGACTCCCCTGTTACTTCTACCCCTAGCCATTTCTGAGGACGGGAACGTTTTACAGGAAATAGCTTACACAAGACACATGGAGGTGGAGGACAAAATGGAGGAACTTTGATTCTTCAAAAGGGGGCCATGTTCTAGCTCCAGCAAGAAGCAGAATTTGGTAGTTTTGACCACATGCTTCTGGTTTTAGAGTCAAGGATACAAGGAAGGGGTTATGGAATCTCCGTCCACGGCTAAGGAAAACTGTTGAGGCCAGGCATGTGGCAGGGATGTGTGAAGCTGTGAAGGTTTAGCCTGGGTTGTGTTGGAGACCCCAAGATGGAGATGCCAGAGTCATGGTAACTGCCAAGGAAAGATGCTACAGGGATTAGAATTAGCCCAGGAGAAAGAAGTGTGCTGCCGCCAACAAAGCTGAAAGGAATTGGAGATCTGAAGAACGCTGTGACATTAGACATGGAGATGACAAGTTTGGAGTTTGCCCTGCTGATTTTCGGTCTGCTTTGGTCCAGTATTTTCTCACTGAGTTCTCTTTCCTCCATTTTGTGATGGTGATGCATTTCCTGTGTCATTGCATGTTGGAAGTATGTGATCTTTTCATTTTGATTTTTACAGGGTATGGTTAAGAGATTGCATGAGTCTCAGAAGAGACTTTGAACATTGGACTTTTAAAGTTGGACTAAATGCTGTTTTGCATTATAATATGGCTACCAGCCTATGGGAGACAGGGAGCAGAATGTGGTCATTTGAATTAAAATGGCCCCCATAGGCTCACTGAGACTGGTACTATTAAGAGGAGGAAGTGTGTGGGCTTTCAGGTTTCAGATGGCCAATCCACTCCCAGTGTCCCTTTCTCTTCCTTCTGTCTTCAGATCCAGGTGTAGAACTCCCAGATCCTTCTCTAGCACCATGTTTTCCTGCATGCCACCATGCTTCCCACCATTATAACAATGGACTAAACCTCTGAAATGTAAGTCAGTCCCTAATTAAATGTTTTCTTTTATAAGAGTTGCTGTGATCATGGCATCTCTTCACTGCAATAGAAATCCTAACTAAGACAGTGTGCTCAAGACCAGTCAGGGCTGCATAAACAGACTGTCTAGTTGACAGAGTGATTGCCTAGCATTCAAGAGGTCCTGGTGTGGTGGTTTGAATAAAAGTGGCCCCCTTAGCCCCCCCACCCCCTTAGGCCCCTAGGGACTGGCACCATGTGTAGCCCTGTTGGAGGAAATGTGTCACTAGGGGTGGGCTTTTAGGTTTCAGATGCTCAAGCCAGGCCCAGTGTCTCATTCTCTTCCTGCTGCCTGTGGATCCAGATGTAGGACTCTCAGCTCTTCTCCAGCACCGTGTCTGCCAGCATGCTGCCATGCTTCCCACCATGATGATGATGGACTGAACTGTAAGCCCACCCCAATTAAATGTTTCCTTTCTAAGAGTTGTCATGGTCATGCTGTCTGCTCACAACAACAGAACCCTGACCTAGACAGCTGGGTTCTATCCCCAGCACTGCTTACCCTGGGTGTGGTGGTGAACACCTTTCCTGATCTGGACACCTCAAATTCAAAAAAACAAGTTTTAGCCTGGGCTACATAAGACCAATTCTCTAAGGAACTAAACATCCTGATTTTTGTAATTATACTGTGTTATTAAAACAATCCTGTTCTACAAAAACACTTGTGGTCTTCAGGAGTAAAGACAGAGCCTCGTTAACTCAATTACACTGCAAATGTGTGGTCTGCCCTGACTAGTGGTGACTTCTTTGTTGTTGCTTGAGACAGGTCTCATGTAGCCCAGGACAGCCTGAAATAAACTATGCTGCTGAGGCCGATCTTGACCTTATGATCCTCCTGCTTCTACCTCCCTAGTGTGGGGGTTCTGGGCTGACAGGGCTGGAACCCAGGTCTTTGTGTGTGTTAGCATTCCACCCACTGGCCACATGTGGGTGTCCAGCAGCTCCCTTCCTGTGGCTGCAGCTAGTCTGAATAAAGCTGGAGACAGAAGCTAAGGTGTTTTCCTGTAGAAGGCCGCAATCACACTCTCCACCATAGATGGCGCTGCACCACCAGGTGAGCTAGAAAGCTCACATGTGTTGGTATTTTTCCACTACTCCCAAGGTTTCACCTGGGACTGGGAGCAGTTGACCAATCCAGGAATGACACGTCCAGGGCAGGGTCTGTTTCCTTTATAAGGGATGGGTTCCATCTTATCTGGGTCTCCGCCATGTAAGCTTATGCTCTCCCTCTCAAGAGACATAAAGCTTTTCTGCAGAAGGATCCTATGTGTACCGCATGGTTCTTGCTGGCGAGACGGTAGCGCGGGACATTTTCCTTTGGCTGTGATGCTGAGAAAACATCCACTGTGTAGAGTGTGTGCTCTGTAAGCCAGGATATGAGCAGGGGGGGCATCGGTCGAAACCTGTGGCCCGGGACTGGGGAGTGAGGTGTGTAGCTCAGTCATAGAGAGCTTGGCTAGCGCAAGAGGCCCTGCACAAGAAGTTAGTGGCAGGGCCAAGGGAAAGGCGATGAGGAGAATGAGAGGGAAGGGCAGGGGATGGCAGGTACCGGCTAGTTGGCAGGCCTACTCACTCACTCTTTACCAAGCAGCTAATCTGTACTGGCCCCTGTGCCAAGGGCTGGCACACCCTCATCTGGGGACTAGAGACAGACAGGACACAAGCAGTGACAGCGTAGAGCAGCCTTCAGCCACGGTTTAAGGAGCCATACTGTCTACCCAGACCTCCCTGTAATGCATGCAGGGTGTGGTGGCGGAGGTGGCTCTTCTCAAAGGGCCAGGGCGTCTGCTACAGCTGCTGGGGGCACACCAGGCTGCAGGGGGTGGGGGTGGGAGTGTCAGGCAGCAGGCGCCAGAGTGGCAGACCCCCCAGCTCCCAAGGATCCCCTGGGCCCCTCTGGAATGTAAATGGCAGGATGTTTGGGAAAGTCAGAGCCTGAGTTTTGGAGGTGGCCCACCGGGGCTCACTGCAGGCCTCGGACAGACAAGGATGTACAGACAGCCCCCAGCAGGCCAGGCTGCACAGGACTGCCTCAGGCAGTGTCTGCAGCTACTTAGGAGCTGGGGTGCTGTGGGGAGGCTGAGTGGGGGTGGCCATCCAGGAGGGAAAGGAGGCAGTGCTGGCCCCGCAGCAGCAGCAGCAGGCAGTTCTTTGTTGGAAGCAAAGAAAGAGAGGCTGGAGCTGGCATGAGGGCATCGGGCTCAGCATTACCCGGGTCAGTGGGTTGGAGGCCCTAAATGTGAGCTGTCGATCCAAGCATGGTCACAGTCACCTGGGCACAGCTTCCACCCAGCTCTGGCATCAGAAGCCAGTTTCTTGTTCTCTACCTCTTAACTTCAGTTTTCCTTAAAGGGCTAAAAGTGGGTCTGGACTGAAATTGGTTCAAGAGTCCACACTCTTGGGTTTGCATCCCAGGAGCCCTCTGGGGTGCGGACGACAGGACTGACTTAGAAATCCCAGCCTCCTCCCTGGAACTCACCACCAGCCCTTCTACCAGGTGCTTATCCGTGGGGCCAGGGTCTCTACAGCTGGGATTCTATGCTCCCAGGGGTGTTTAGCAGCCTTCTTCTCCTGGCTTAGCTACAGAAATTTATTTCTCCAGGCCTCACCCAGGTGAGAATCATGGGCTAAACCTTTTTTTTTGTTTGTTTGTTTTGTTTTGTTTTTCAAGACAGGGTTTCTCTATAGTTTTGGAGCCTGTTCTGAAACCTGCTCTGTAGACCAGGCTGGCCTCGAGATCCACCCGCTTCTGTCTCTGGAGCGTGGAAATTAAAAGGTGTGTGCCACCACTGCCCGGCTCATAGGCTATGCCCGTAACAAGTGGGGACTGAATTCAAGAAGCTGGTAACCCACACCCCTCTTAACAGTTAAGAGTTCCAAGCCCCAAGCCAATTCCACTAAGACCAGTGACTGATAATAGAGAAAGTGTGTGTGTGTGTGTGTGTGTGTGTGTGTGTGTGCGTGTGTATGTGTGTGTGTGTGTGTGTGTGTGTGTGTGTGTGTGTGTGTGTGTGTGTGTGCGCGCAGAGGAGTGGGAGGAGGACTCATACATGCTGTCCCAGAGGCCAGGGACTTTTCTTTGGTTTTTCGTGACAGGGTTTCTCTGTAGCTTTGGTGCCTGTCCTGGAACTCGCTCTGTAGACCAGGCTGGAGGCCAGGGAATTTTGAAGAGCTTGGTGACCTTGGAAATACCACTCTGCCTCCCTGAGTCTCCCATTCTGTAATCTAGTGGCTTGTGATCATTTGGGGAGCCAACATGTCTCATTTTTGCCCAGCAGTGTCTAGCTGCCAGCTGGCTCCAGTTCCTCTCCTCCTGGGCATCCCCAGAACTGTCAAGAGCTCCCACCTGTTGGCCTGGTTCTGGCCATGGACGTGGAGGAACAGGAGATCTTGGGTGGCGCAAGTGATTTGCAGGAATGAGCTCATGTCTTCCAAGATCCAGAGTTCTCAGAATAGTAACTGAGGTAGGGGAGGGAGAGAGAGCAAGACACATATTGTTGGGGTGCCGAGGACCCTGGAGATCAGTAGAGATGCCTGTGTGATTCCCAGCCCTGAGCAAGACCCTGCCCAGCCTGTAAGCATGCAGGCCCTGGCTCCTGGCTCCCCCTGGATGTGGGGCTCATGGGCAGGGCTCAGAACCAGCTGGTCTGGGGAAAAGAGGAATCTGGTGTTCTCAGTTGTGGGGTACATGCTCCACATACAAGGGGGACCACCAAGAGCTGCTTTTTCCTTCTCAGCAGAATTATGGGACAGAGGTAATGGCTGGAGGTGGGCAGTGACCACTGATGCAGGTTTGTGGGGATAGGGCACAGAGGCTCGGGCACACATGGCCAGGGCACACCCCATACAGTAGGGACCACAGAAACACAGAGTTGAGTCCTCAATCCACTGCCTGCTCACCACATGAATTTGAGCAAGTTACCTAAACCTCATGTGTACCCAGAGACAGTGATGGTCCTGTCACCACTAACAACATTGTCGTAGTCAATGGTATCCCAGCATCCTCAGCCAACAACCTGGATCTGCACAGCTCCATGCGACAGGAATATTACTTACTATCTTTATTTCACACCCGAGGCGATTGGGGGCACAGAGAGGGCAAGACGTCTGCACAAGGTTGCACAGCTGGGGATGATAGGATGTGCTGTCCTGTACAGCAGCGGGTGTCAGCAGGACAAAAAGCATAGAACAGCCTGGGTGCTGCTCCCAGCACTGAGTACTGGGCCCAGAGTACTAAGCAACGCTCACAGCACTGAGCCTTATCTCCTTGGTGAAGAGAAGCTGGGCCTCAGCTCTGGTTCATTACTGGACAGGCAGAGAGGATCCTGGCCAGGAGCTAGAACATGGCTGCAGGATGGAAAAAGTTTACTACGTAGGCATTTGCTACAACTGCCTGTTAGTTTGTTTTTCGGAGACAGGGTTTCTCTGTGTAGCCCTGGTTGTTCTGGAACTTGCCCTGTAGACTAGGCTGGCCTCAAACTTGAGATCCTTCTGCCTCTGCCTCCTGAGTGCTGGGATTGAAAGCATGCCCTGCAATACCCAGACTACAACTGGTTTTGTTTGTCTGTTTAGAGAGCCTCTGTAAACTGTAAAGTGTTGTGACCACTTGCCAATCCTTTCCTCTGCACATGAGAAACTGGATGAGGGGTAACACGTTTGGAGAGTGGCCTGCTGGCCCTGTGGCCCCTCACTGGGCTGCTGAAGGGGAAGAATACAGCAGAGACTGTAATGGGGTATGCTGCAACCCACGCACCTTGGCAGAAAGGCTACCACGTAGGCCTGGAGGGATCACTGACTGACCTCAGGCTAGCCGGTCGCCTTCTAAGCCCCCATGAGATCATCTATCACAAGGCATCCCTAGACACTCCTCTGAGAAGCCCCACCCTCTCCTGCCTGCCACCCTTCCCTGCTGGGCATCTTCATCACATCACAGGGCACAGCAACCTGTGCCTCGTGGGAACACCAGCCTAGGCAGGCTTTAGCTGTGTTCTGCAGGGCAGGCAGGTGCAGAAGCACCTGTGGAGTGAACTTGCAAAAGAGTGAATGGCTTGTCCTGAGAGTGGCCTGGACCAGATGCCAGCAGCTTTCCTTCAGTGAAAGACTCAGAGGTCACCTAGGGTCTGGCTTGTGGGGAGCTCTGGCAACTTCTGCCCCGAAGTGGGGCCACCTCTCTGGCTGCCCCACACAGTCTCTCCAGAGCAGGCAGCTCCAAGAGCTCGCACACGTATGTTCCCTGCTGTGTATGAGAAATGACTGACAGACCAGGGAACCTAGGACTATGTAGGCGGTTCCTACTGTGTGTCAGAAGCTGGGGTCATGCTAGGTGAGGCCCACAGCTTAGGTCTGCCCAGGGGGATGGCCAGTACCAGGAAGCCTGAGCCTTGATGTCCTCATCTGTAAAATGGTTGCAGTCTACCCACCTCAAGATGGTACCCAGGTGACATCATACCCAGAGGAGCTGGAGGTGGGAGTGCCTAGGGTCAGAAAACACTCATTTCTTATTGCATTATCCTATATTCAATCACACACGTGTGCTAGGTGTAGGGTAAGGAAAGGGAGGCGACATGGATCGTATGCTTGGGGACTCCTGGCTGTCGGGGCACCGTGAAGTGTCATTGTGGGCTTGGACAACCAGACGTAGAGAACAATGGAGGGAGGAGGGGGCTAGGAATCAGTGTAGTCCCAGCAGGCCTAATGCCCACTCACGAGTGATCTCAGGTTCCAGCATGAGCAAAGTCCCCACTTGCCCCCCGCCCTCAATGATGGGAAACATTTTCAGCCAGAGGCAAATGATTTGGATGGCGGGAAAAACACCAAGGGTCCAGAGTAATCGAGAGCCAGGTCCCTGCGCCTATCTGGAGGACACAAGGCAGCAGAATGTGAAGTCAGACTGGTGTAGACTGAGTTCAAGGTCTGGCTACCTAATAAATCAGCTGTGTGGCCTGAGTCAAGTGACTCCACCTCTCTGAGCTGGTCAGGAATGGAAGGAACTGGGAGAAGAGCGTGAAGGCTGGGTGGGGAGCAGTGCTCTGTGGCTCTGACGGTTCCTATTGACTGTCCACTTGACAGGATCCAGTATTTCCAGAGCTCAGCTTCTGCACTTGCCTCTGAGAAACTTTCTGGAACTGGTAACTGAGGTGGAAGAGTCACCCTGAATGTGGGCTGCACTATCCCATGGGGTGGGGTCCCAGGCCAAATAAAAAGGAGAAAGTGGGCTGAGCACTGGGGTTCATCTCTCTGTTTCCTGACTGTGGGTGTGATGTGAGCAGCTGCCTCCAGCTCCCTGTCTCCATTCCCTGCCTCCAGCTCCAGCTCCCTGCCTCCAGCTCCAGCTCCCTGCCTCCAG